TACTTCTATTATAGCGAGATAGGCCGCGCCATAAGTCAAGCGGTTAGTCGCTGGCTTACCGCCGCGGCGGCCCGCGTTCGATCCCGTGTCTGGTTAAGTGGGATTTGTGGTGGACAAAGTTGCGCTGGGGCGGGTTTTCTCCGAGTACTTCGGTTTCCCTTGCCAATCTTCATTCCATCAAAAAAAATTCTCCATCATAATTACCCGGGACAGGTACAATAGGTCAATCAGTGGCCGCAGTGCCGAGGGGACCCAGCTGGACTCCACCCCCCCACTAAACGAATTAAAATATTAAGTTCTACGTGTCTCAATAGGTGAAATTTAATTAAATATACTAATGTAAAATCTTGAACCGCTTCATGAAGAACTTATATTTTTCGAGACTACCGAGACCCAGAAGTAATTCTCGTTTTGTGGTCTGCGTATCCAAAGGCATCCTTTCTGAAATTTCTATACTCCGGTTGTTTACCTGGCAGTCTCCCTGAGATTCAAAACCGCAAACCTTCTTGCCACTTCTACCTGTGGCCAGTCCCCAAGAGCCAGTTCAGCTTGAACAGATCCGAAGACAGGTTCAAGGCGAGGGCCGGGTGTAGCAGTTTCGAAATGGTGTCGCAGTTAAAATAAAGAAGCAATATGGACAAAAGCAATGGAAACAAAAATTACGTAAGCGAGATTTGAGCGGTGAACACCACACTATGATCCACTGCATACATTCCATGAAGCTGTCATCACAAAGCTTAATAACAAGAAAAGGCAAAAGTAAACTTTCCCCTATGGTAATTTTTTAAGAACCAAGCCATGAATACGTACGGGGGAGTCGCGGTGTAGCTCTGGCTGCTTTACTTTCGGGGAAAGTGCTGGATGGACCCTAGAGCCTGTCTGGAGGCTATGGAGAAAATAAAAATATATGCCCTTGCCGGGTATCGAAACCCGGCCGCTCAGTCCCTAGGTCGTCGCAATATAGACTGAGCTTAGCGTGTAAAAATATAAAAGTAAAGCTATCCATGTAACAGGCCATAAGGCCCTAGGGTTGTGAGACGTTGAGGGTCCCACATTATCTAGACAATCGGCTCAAAGATGGCGGTAAGGTTGTCAGCCTTACGCGCCGGCCGCGCTTTACTTCCCAGGTGTAAAGCATGTAAACTTCTTACAGATGTCCGTGCCAAGTTCTCAGATTTGTATTGAGGTTTCGAGTTTGGGCTTTCTGGAGTCCCTGCAGGCGAATGCCTGTCAGAATACCTTAAAATACGCGATGATCCCTTGTCCTTTATTATTTTGTAACTCCCTGAACAGATACCACATCTCATTCGAGACAAAGGGCCACGACATAACCCACGATTCAACCAGTCGTGTGGTCGTGTGGAGTATTCCTCACATAAATATGCGCATTATCTTTATTGCTCTTTAACCGTCCTGTGCTCAGCTGCACTTCTCTCCACATCACCCCTTAAAAGGAACCAGTATTTGTTCAAAGGTTTATCAGCTGTGGGACCCGTCGTTTACATGACGTCACGTGGTTGAATTTATGTGATCCTCATTGAAAGGGGCGCAAACGGAAGCGGTCGTGGCGATACCCTACTAACACAAGGGGGCACGCGGTAGCGTAGTTGGTTGAGACACTATGCTGTAAGCCGGAAGGTCGCGGGTTCATGTCCAGATGAGGTCATTGGATTCTTTTCAGTTGACCTTAATCCTTCCAGCCGCACTATGGCCCTGAAGTCGACTCAGCCTCTAACAGAAATGAGTACCAAGAATCTTCCTAGGGATAAAGGGCGGTTGGCAAATAAGGGTGATAACTTCACTGCCATCTTTGGTCTGATTGTCTAGAAAATGTGGGAGCATCGATGTCTCACACCTTGTGGGCCTCCACTGCCTGTTACAGAGATATCTAGATACATTTATTTTTTATATATTGACCACATAATTTAATTCTGACCTTCCAGTGGAGGAGATAGAGGGCGTCTGCATGCTTCCTTCAGAACTGTGTCTAGGAGTTCCGAGGCTGGTGGCGATCTGTAACTGCTATAGAATTTTGACTTCGTGTCATAACAGCGAAGTCTGTATGTAGAAGGTGTTGGTAACACGTGATTCAGCAAGTTGTCAGCTGGTGATGCTGGGAACTTGTGTTGAATTAATAAGTTATTCAAGATGTTATCGCAAAGTGATGTCTGATATTAATGATCACTGTTCATTTGTCAGTGTTAAATTGAAGACCACGTCATTTTTCAAATTGAGCCAGTTAGAGCAAACGAGAGTCATCTTTACAGACAGAAGCGTTCTATCTTTTGGGAGGTCCGAAAATTTTGACCCTTCAAACACTGTTTTAAGTCACCAATTGTCAATAGATTTTCCGTCAAGTGCAACAATATATATTTTGGTCACTTATTTATTGTTGCACTTGACGGAAAATCTATTGACAATTGGTGATTAATAGTGTAACGGACCAAAATGAAACAATTAAAAAAAAACTGTTTTAAGTATTTAACTTTTCAGAGAGTATGCACTAATTCCTTTTAAATTCTAAATTTACAGTGTTTGTTTACGTTGAGGTAACTTGCACTCCTCAACAAACGTAATTAGAATGATGAAGTCCAGGAGGAAGAAATGGGCAGGGTATGTAGTACGAATGGGGCCGAAGATGAATGCGTATAGGATGTTGGTGGGAAAGCCAGAAGGAAAGAGACCAAGTGGACTCAGTCTCACCTCATTCATGGAGCTGAGCCCTTCTTGTGAAGTCGCCAATTGTGCAGCTACTCAAGAACTTCCTAGCATTCTATGAAACCTGAAGGTTTACCACCGTGTTCACAATAAACTTCCACTGGTCCCCAACCTGAGCCAGATCAATCTAATCCTATACTATCTCTCTAAAATCCATTTTAATATTGTCAACCCACCTACGTCTTGGTCTTCCTTGTAGTCTCGTTCCTTCTGGCTTTCTCACCAATATCATATATGCATTCCTCTTCTCCCCATTCGTGCTAAATGCCCGGCCCATCTCATCCTTCTGACTTCATCATTCTGATTATACCTGGAGAAGAGCACAAGTTATGAAGATCCTCATTATGCAGTTGTCTCCAACCTCCTGTCACTTCATCTCTCTTCGGTCCAAATATTCTCAACACCCTGTTCTCAAACACCCTCAGTCTATGTTCCTCCCTTAATGTTAGAGACCAAGTTTCACACCCATACAAAACCACAGGCAAAATATAGTTCTGTATATTCTAATTTTTAAGCTTTTAGACAGCAGACGAGAAGACAAAAGGTTCTGGACTGAATGGTAGCAAGCATTACCCGAGTTCAGTCTCCTCTTAATTTCCTCCCGAATCAGGTTTCGATCTGTTATCGTTGTTCCCAAATATCTGAACTGTGCCAGGTTTTCAGAACATCTGTTTCCTATCTTTATGTCATGATTTTGCACTGCATTCTGGTGACGAGACAGTAACATATACTTAGTTTTCTCTAAACTATTATTATTATTGGAGGGGGTGGGTTTCCCCATTCACCGCGACTAATAGTGTATTTTAAGCCCCCCTTTGATATTCTATCAGTCTCCATACCCTACCGGCACTGGTGCGTGCTATCAGCCCCGTTGAGCCAAGACCAATAATAATAATAACAAAAATAATACAGTATATTCAAGCATGTACTTCCCTTCTCGACAGAGAGTGTTTCGAGCCTCTTGCTGCTGAAGACGCCACGTATAGTCAGTGTGGTCACAATGTGTATGGAACGGAAGAAAACTAGACGGGGAACAAGGGCAGGCAAGTGACATGCGCAGTTCACAATCACGCAGTCGTTCACGCAATGTTCACTGCTTGTCAGATTTGATTCTGAGCGTCGTTTATCACGGTATAAACCGCACACAAAGTACTCCACCGGTCCTCTTCCGAGGAGAAGCCGATGTGACACGTCTCCCTGTGACGTGTTGAAATCTGTTACTCCCTAAATGTAATGTAGCACACAATTCTTGAAGTGCGTGGACTCTGAAAGCAAGACTCAATTTTAATCAAATTTACAGGCCTGTAGGCCTTGTGGAAAATCTGAAATTGTGTACAGGATTCGGTTCGATGTCATGCTTTTGTGCTCTTTCGGGTCCTTAAAAGGCAGGAGTAGCGTGTAGACCCGTTACTGTATAACGACCTCGAAACAAACGACGAAACAACATCTGCTGCTAGGCAACAAATTCTTAATAAGCAAGTTACGCAGCTGTCACTTGGTAACGCCTTCGCAAACAAACATGTTCCCACTGAAGCGATTGAAGTACAACAATGAATGGTGTTTTCTACGCTGCCCGTGCCGAAATGTTATAAGGAGGACAACTGGAGCAAGGATTCAGAGTTGTAAAAGAGTCTGTGAAGAGAATTCATAGTCGGTGCAGTTAGAGCTGTGGGATATTCGCAGGGGCAGTAACAAAGAGAGCGCGGAAGCTGAAGAATCTTCACTGTTAGAAGCCGCTACCAGGGAACGACTGGTGAAGACACAGCAGAATGAAACAAAAACTTGTCGTGTGCTGTAGTGATCTGTAAAGCGTGGAGATCAGCGGTAGCGTTATAATTAAGTATAGTCACGAGTCGTGTGTTAAAGTGGTCAGTGAATGCAGTCACCAATCCAAACAACGTTCACTCCCTTACGTGACAATATCTTTACTACTTGAGCATTACCGGCTTCACAAGAGAGACCCTGTGCCCCGTGAAGTTGGTAGAGTTTACGTAATCTTCATCAGGTCGTCTGGAGTGCGCACCTCTGTCCCACAGCTTTCTTATATACAAGGTTCCATTTTAACGGCACGAGACTTCCCGAATGTTTCTTGAACCACTGCACTGCCGCTGGCTGACAACAGCATCTATCCTTCTTCATAGCACGGAGTGGCTGCGTGGAAAGAGAAAATGTATGAAGCCGGCTTAGTGGAAACCTGTTGCTTGGCTAGCATACCCTTTTCATTGAGCACGAGTTGCGTACAATCCCGAAGGGCGGGGAAGGAACCAAGCTAGCGACCTAGCGACTGGTTGCTCACACGCTCAGTGCTGGCAGGCGGACGGTGGGCTGAGGTTGTGTTTGCGCGAGGGCCGTGGTGTGTGAGCGCATGAAGAAATAACGGGGTCTGATGGGGCGTATGTGTGTTGTGTCGGTGTGTACACTCTTTTTGTCGCTGTTATCCTGGGTGTAAGTTCCGCTGACCCCATTTTCTGTTCCCTTCACGTTGTACAGTATTTGTACTAGTCGAGAAGAAATCGTAGAAGATCGCAAAAAAATGGAAGAAAATCGATAGTAATCGAATATACAAATTTTAATACTTTGTTTTTAAGTTGATGAAGAGAGTGAATTGTGATTTGCTTTTGGACTTCAGTTTTGTATGAAAAGTGATATAATTTCTTCTGGAAATAGTACTGTAAAGGTGTTTTACGTCTGGTTCTGTTAATTTCCTTTTTTGTCAAGACTGCTCTGCTCTGGCAAGTGTTCAGTGGATGCAGGAACAATAGGGTCTGCTGTAACTTTACAAGTAAGTGAAATTTCGTGCTCCTCATAGTGTAATTGTGGTTCTGTGGAAGGCTGGCGTAGTTGTAGCCCCCTCGGGTGCTTCGGGTCGTCGTCGTCATGACTTCGGTTTGTTGTGGTTTTCCTCAATGTCTCCAGTGGGCCACAACCCATTTCTCTCTAGGTCTTTACCAGTTCATTAGTCATCCTACTATCCAATTAAGTAGAGTCGAGATCAGGGGTGACCAAACTTACCGAACGCGAAAACCGCATATGATAATTTTCAGAAATTCGCGAGCGTCAAACAAACGTAGCGTGCATGGCATAGGTATTCAGGTATGTGTTTCCCAATCAGCAGATTTTCATATTTAATTCATTTGTAACATTGATTAACTTGCCCCCCCCCCCCCCCAANGCCCATTGGCCACGCCTGATATAGATACTGACAACAACATAAAATTAACCGTTCGGTTTGTATTAGGGCAGAAAATGGAAATGGTGTGCCTGAATATTAGGTCTAGGAACCTAACCTTGCTTAGAATCCAGATGTGCACACTTAAACTACAAGTTTCTGACTGCTCGTGCCTGTTGCACTTTTTGAGGAATATGGAGCATGGCGGAATGACTGGCAGAGGAAAAGAGAAATACACGGAAGAAGCGTGTTTGGAAATAACTTTGCAGTACCGTGAGCACTTATAACTATTTAAGATTTCGTGGTTTATTTACACTCAGTAACCTTAACATGGTTGTGTACAGGTAGAGTAGGCCTAGATCCCACTAGGGCTGTAGTGCCAAGGGGGAAAAAAAACCTTAACATGGTCACTGCAACCAAATTTAGCCACCAAACACGTCATCACAGAATTAATAAATATCAAATTTACTGTAAGAACCGCGTACACCACATCAGTGATGATGAGTACTTTTACTGAAAACTGCTGTTCATTTCGGCCCCGCATGGCATCACCAGAGAGTCCATTAAATAGAAAGGTCATATTATCGTTTTTATCAACCATTTTGAAATATGGATCCGTGTCTGTAGTAGGTTTTCATTGTATTATGGGCTTTCATGGCCGGTCACGGTAGCCGAGCGGTCTAAGGCATGCACTGTCTTCGCTATCTCGGAAGCCGAGATCGTGGGTTCGAATCCCACTCAGGGCATGGATGTTTGTGTGCGTTTTTCTGTGTTTGTCTACAGGTAGAGGCCTTGCGACGAGCTGATCACTCGCCCAAGGAGTCCTACCGAATGTGTAAGATCTAGTAAACCGAAGTGAAACGGAGAGTTTCATGGAGGTAGGTCTAGGCCCACTGGGGCTGTAGTGCCAGGGGGGGAAAAAAAGGGCTTTTATGATGTGTGGTGTAAACATTTCGTAAATAAACACAGCATGATAATTTTAAATCGTACGCTGTTTGGTAAAAGATAAAAGTTATCCAACGGCTGATATAATTAAGCACCACGCAATGGTTGGTAATAGAAAATAATATACTGTAACGTGTTTGGAGTAGATATTTCCATGGTAACACAATAACAGTGGGCCGTTGCGTAGGAATTGCAGAATCAATAAACGCGTTTCCCCAGGGATGGAAAGTTCGTTGCGTAACAACGGATTGTTGAACCAGCAGGGATAATGCACTTCCGTGGTAACGAGTCAGTCTTGAGAAAGCCACCGTCGAAGGCAGTCTAGTATTCGTCGTGATATAGTGGAAGCAGTAATTGTGATATTGCAAGTGATAATAATAACACGTGACAACTGGTGTCAGAAGTTGGATTGGGCTTTTTTTTTTTTTAATTAGTGTTCACTTGCTTACACCTTATGGAGGTTCCCGTTGGCTATCACGTAGGACAGAATAAATCGCCAGTACACATTGGCTCTCACACGACCACCGAGCGAACCAATAGGAGACAAGAACAGGAGTTCAGGACGGCCCTGGCCCTGGACGCTAGTTTCCTGCTCGGCTTATTCTTCGACCAATGAGATGGGGGTTGTATGTTCCTCCGAAACGTCGGTTGAATTTCGGTGGACTACACGGCGTTATATCCCAGATAGTACTTTTCATACCCACCGCTGGGAGAACCTCAAATCCTGCAGGATCCCAGTGTATTAGCGGGCGAAGACATTCCATTCCGTAGCCCGCGCGGCCACTGTGATCTGCCTAAATAAATGAAGAGAATATTTAATCATTAGTTGGCCGCACCATAGCTCAAGCGTTTAGTCGCTGGCTTCCCACCACGGCGGCCCGGGTTCGATCCCGGGTCTGGTCAGGTGGAATTTCTGGTGGACAAAGTGGCGCTGGGGCAGGTTTTCTCCGAATACTTCGGTTTCCCCTGCCAATCTTCATTCCACCAATTGCTCCACAATCACCTTCACCTATCATCTGGGGCTGGTACAATAGGCCAGAAGTGGCCGCAGTACAAGGGACTTAGTCCCACCCCACTAGCAATTAACAAAATGACTGTAAAATGTCGGACACCAGCGGGAAGTGTGTACAGTATTTGTTAGTTACTGGTGCCTGTAATGTACGCTGCTGTGGCTCGTCCTCACCTTGTAACATGCCACTGCAGCTAGAAATGCGGCAGCCCTGGTATTTCGTCACGATCTGCAGATCTGCATATAACCGTGCCTTGATGCAGCAGTGGGAGCGGGGGAATGCCATTCAGTCAGATTCAGTTCAGAGGTAGTCGAGGAACTCCGCCAGACTTCTGTCCGTTTAGGCGGGTATGTGCATATTGCATGCAGGACCCTCGGAAGGTGGTCGGTGATTTAACGTGTCAGATTTAGTTTTATACAAATAAAATATAAGGCAATTTGTTTCTTCAATTTATATAGAGACCAGCGATAAATAATTTATTCTTAGCCTCCCCCCCCCTCCTGCGTTTATAGCTTTCGCGTGGGAGGCTGTTTGGCCTGTTCGATTCGGAATTCATCCTGAAATAATGAATCCTTAGTAGAACTCCTTTGGTAGAAGACTGGCCCGTCACAAAGCTACTGACTGTACAGGCCAACACAAGGAGCAGAATTCATATCCTTGATGCCAGTAGCTACGTGCAGGATACAGCACTGTTCACTGTGATTCACAGGAAATGTTTAGACGGCTTGACAGTGGAACCATTCCTCGTTTATCGATTTATTTTTGTATTTTCGAAAGGACCAACATCCGGAAGCGTGATTCCTAACTGTGTGCGTCCGCCCGTTCGCCAGCCATCTGAATCAATCATGGGCATGAATATTTATGGCACCAGGCCTACATATTGGCAGATTACCGTGAGATTAGCTCATTTTGATACTTTTATCAGTAGCTGTACCATTGTAGTGGTTTGCGAACTTATTAAACGGGAACGAAGTGTGTTAAAGATTTTGTATTTGACATATCTTTTAAAATAACGCATCTTCTTGTAGGTAATTTTATGACCAAATGGAAAATAAGAGAGTACAGGTTTTCACTGAGATGGAGTTTCATATTCTGGTCTTCTGGCCGCGACAGTGTGAACTCTGATAGGTGATTACTAATGCCTTCTCCATATTCAGGGTGAAGGACTTTTACCCTGAAGATGGAAGAAACATGTTCCTCTGGAACGTTGATACCTACATACCAGACTACACGGTGCTATAACCGTGTCACTTCCAACAATGTGAAATGGAAAACTACATCGGAAACTAACGAAATGTGTGTGTAATGACTAACAGGAGACGATGAATCATAACTGAGCAATGTATATGATGATGGCCTATTACGAATGACATGGAATCTGAGGATACACACAAAAGGACAGACATGGGAGAAGGCCCATGACCTGGAATTAACAGCCGTAGTCCCGGGTTCCCTTTAGCTGGAGACGGACTATGGTGTAGGTCCAGGGCCTCGCCATAGCTCAAGCGGTTAGTCTCCGGCTTCCCACCGCGGCGGCCCGGGTTCGATGCCGGGGTCTGGTCAAGTGGGATTTGTGGTGGACAAAGTGGCGCTGGGGCGGGTTTTCTCCAAGTACTTCGGTTTCCCCTGTCAATCTTCATTCCACCAAATTCTCCATCAGCATCACCCGGGCCAGATACAATAGGCCACTCAGTGGTCGCCGTGCCGAGTGGACCCAGTTGGACTCCACACCCCACTAAGTGAATTAAAAAGAAATGGTGTAAGTCGAGCGATCACCGGAAGGCGGTGATTTTTTTCTTCAGATATCTATGTACGCGTATTTCTTTACGTACTCTTCACGTCCGGTGATTCGTCCACCTGTATGTTAAGAATAATTGTATTTGGATTAAATTAGTCTTCGAGCGACTAATTTACATAAATAAAAAATGGAAAGATTACTTAGGAACTACTGTTACGCGATGTGAAGTTTAAATCTCGTTAAGTTTTCTAACTTTGATGACTGTACAGTCTTCCCTCTCTCGGAAGCCGGGATCGTGGGTTCGAATCGCACACAAGGCATGGATGTTTGGTATGTGTGTTAATTCGTCCAGATAGTCCTACATTTTGTAAATGATCATGAAAACTGAAAATCAGAGGCCAAGGCCAAGGGGGGCTGTAGAGTAAGTAAAAGAAAGTAGTGTATTTTTAGCGTAAGGTACAGTTGCCCTGTGCTTAACTCATAATTAAACTCTACGCCATGAAGACGTATGGGGGGGAGTGGAGGTATAGCTTCACGCTTTCTTGACCTCGGTACTAGTTGGAGGTGGGTGGGCAGCTTCACGCCCCTGCCGCCTTACCCTCGGGGGGAAAAAGCCCCCGGTACCCAATGGACAGGAGTTTGGTAGGCCCCCAGAAATCGTCTGGACGCTATAGAGAAAAAGAAAACGTTTAGCCTCTGCCGGGAATCGAACCCCGGCCCTCCAACCCGTAGCCCGTTGCTATGCCGACTAAGCTACCCCGCCTTCATAGTTGCTTGGTTTTTAATACCTTTTTTTATTGCTAGTTGGGTGGGACTAAGTCCCTTGTACTGCGCCAACTTCTGGCCTATTGTACCAGCCCCAGATGATAGGTGAGGGTGATTGTGGAGCATTTTGTGGAATGAAGATTGGCAGAGGAAAC